TTGTTACAAGCATTTCGTTGTCATCGTTGCATCGAGGACCAACGATACAGCAAAAAGAATGCGACTACGATACACTTACGGTCGTTTGGGAAATGAGGTTTGTTGGGCTTTTAGGAACTTTTCGAGGGGGCCGTTCAGTTCCTGAGTGAATTTCCATTTCATAAACGATCGCACACGATCGTAAGTGTAGACTTCATGTTCCAGTTCAACTTTCGGATTTTATTCATTCTTGGCAACTCAGAAACAATGGATGATGAACGGCTGATTGAACAAGAGGCAAAGGATCATGGAGATATTCTGCAGGCGAATTTTGTTGACAGCTACGATAATCTCACAATTAAGGTATACCAAGGATTTGTTCGTTCGTATCCACTATTTTTGAAATTTATTCGAAAGTAATACAGCAAAGGCAGCAAGTAATCTGGTTCTTGGGGATTTTTCTCTACTCTTCTCCATACCATAGTAGGGGTTTCAAAAAGTTCGACCGGAAGGCGAAATGTTGTTCTATTTATTTATTCATTTCTGCACTCAATGGTGCGCTGCAACAGGGCAGAAGTTTGGACAACCATGCTTAGACGAAAAACAAACAAGCAAACAAACAAACGCTAAACAAGCTGCAAAATAAGGAAAGATAAAAAGGAGTCGCGCTTTCAGTATCCCAGGCCTGCCGTACACAAAAAGGACGACCCAAGAAAGTTAGCACAGGACTAGTAACTGCCCTGTCTGGGGCTCAAGTAGGCATCTAAATCGGTTTTTTTCTTGTTGAAGGACCGCTGAGCTGAGCTCCAACACTCGTCACTATAGTCACAGCACATTAATATTAGGCCGAAAAACATCCCGACAAACACCTTCTTTTCGGAAGTCCACGTAGTAAAACAGACTCTTTCCATCGCTCGGAAAGTAAAAAAAAAACCATTATAACCATCTTTAAAAGGCATGATTCAATCCCTGAGGAGCTGTTTCAGGGAGAACGAGTGATTCTAATTTTAGAGCATTGCCGCAATGAGGTACGTCGCTGGTGTTTGTTCCGAAGTGAAAGCTATCTTCAAAGTGGATGACGACGTTGCCTGGAACGTTCTGGAAACATCGCTATTGGTCAATTATGCAGCAGCAAATAACAGCATTCATTGCCCCCTGTGAGACCGAAATCTTCTCGAATTCCACATAACACACAAAGGGAAGGGAACATTACTTGGAGAAGACAAANGGGCATCGAATATGGGACTAGCCGTAGTCATTGCCTGGCAGATACTTTTCACCTTTTGGATTTTTTTGGAATAAACAGTAGAATCAAAAGCAAATTATATTTCGATTATCCAAATAGGCACTCTTCCTCTTCTTTTCAGAACTCAAAACCAACCTGTGAGGGATCGGAAAGATAAATGGTAAGCTTTATGAATACAACTATTCTCAAAGTCTTTTAAAGTTTCGTGAAACCAAATATCTAGCGATTTCACCTATCACTATTTCTTCAGCCCTAATCGGGAGAAAAAACAGAGGAATGAAGTTTAGTAGCTCCCATGAAATCGATAGTTTCGATCGATGGTTACCAAGTGAAGAGTTCCTTGAGATTTTACTTCCGAGAAGTCGCAAAGGCTCTTCTATATTAAGAGTATAAGAAGTTGGGAATTTTTCTTAGATGTACTGCAGGTACGTTTCAAGAAGGGAGTTTCCTGGCGATCTTTATCCACCGTATTGCTGTGGATTCGCCTACCTTATACCGCTTCAAGCACTGCATACCATTTTAAATGCTACGAAAACTGAACGACTGCTTCACGTTAGTTGTTTATAAACATTCTTCAAAGCTTCCTTATATTGAATAGATCGAACGAAGCAATGGGTTGTTGGCCCTTGTGGAATGATGTGGTTTACGTTTTTGCCCTTTCAGGAATAACAGGAACCGATTTACCTTCGCAAAAGATTGAAAGCTGATTCTTCATGAAGCAGCTCCATGAAGCTTTCATGGAGCTGCTTCATGAAGAAAATGGATTATGAATTGTCCTAATCCTGAGGTTAGGCAAGCTGGAGTATTCGCTCCTGACTTTGAACCACTCAAACCACCTCGCCATCATTGTGAGGCTACTTATCACAGAGCTATCAAACCAGCTAGTGATTCCAGATAGAAGATGTGTTCATCACCGGACACCTGGCGAAGAAAACCGGCGTGAAACAAGTGAGTGTCATGGATCGAGCCTCATTTTATCGTCTTGATTATCCGTGGTTCCCCGAAGCTATATTCACCTTGGTCCCTGATACAGAAGCCATAGACTTTTTCTTAATTACAAATAGAAAATGGTTTTTGCAACGTTTCTCACCAGGACCCATCAATTCATGATATGTTAAATAATTCTTTCGATTATCACTGTTGTATAAAATTGTACGTTACTGTGATATTCAACTGGAACCATCTTTGCTTACTTTCAATGCCACTGGTGTCGCCCAAAAAATCGATAACTCCAATCGATCGACTGTGATTTTGGGTAACTCTAACATCCACAATTGTACATCTACTGTACTTCATCATCTACTTCACTTTGTGCAAAACGTTGATCATTATCGAACGAACTAACCATTACATAGTTCTGAGCTTACCACAAATTGTATTCATAGTCTTGAACCGGCTGTTGTTTGTTTACTTGTATTTGTATAGAATATTTGTATGGTCTCCTAATAAACATTCCCTCACAGATTATAAACAAGGAAGTTTGATGATTTGATAGCTACACCAGTTCATCCCTCACAACGGCTTCACATCTTGCATTTATACCTGTTCCATCAAAGAATTTGAAAGAAGCTGGCCTTTGTGAAGCGGACGAGGACATTTCATTGTGGAGCTACTTATCACAGAGCTATCAAACCATCTAGTGATTCCAGATAGAAGATGTGTTCATCACCGGACACCTGGCGAA